AGGGGCTACCACCCCTGTGGTTTTGACCCCACTGTGGCTTGACACATACATGTGACATGAGCTTTGCTTTCACGAATTTGGGATGCAGTTCCCCCCAAACCCCTGTACTTATCTTCTTGAAACTTGGCAGGTTTCATGGTCTCAGCAGGGGCTAGAAAGCCTGCAGTTTTGACCCCGCTGTGGCTTAACACATACACGTGACGTGAGTTTTGCTCTCAACAGTTTGGGGTGCAGTTTCTCTGAACCACCTGCACCTATCTTCGTGAAACTTGGCATGCATCATGCCCTCATAAGGGGCTACCATTCCTGCTAGTTTCATCCAAATCTGTCCAGAAATGACAAAGTTATAGCCTGTTTCCACCTTCCCCATTATATCCTATGGGCGAAACGTCAAAACAGGGTCAAAACGGCAAAACGTTTCGACAGAACAAAACGAAACAGCTGTTTCAACTCAAAACAAAAGTTGAAACGAAACACTGTTCTGTCAAAACATCAAAATGCTGGTCGAAACGAAATGCTTCCTTTTCGCACAGCCCTAGCTCCTGGCACTGCAGTAAAGTAATGGGCCCAGCATCTGCTCTGGCCCCCAGCTCTCCACAGTTCCTAGTTGGCTGGTGAATGAAGCACAGGCAAAGCCAATCAGTCAAATAAGAGATGTCTGTAAGGTTTAATGGTAATGACTAAGAGCACAGCCAGTGTTATCATCAGTACAGTTCAGAAAGGGCCAATACAGCAGTGTTTAGGGCATCCTACAGGAACACACTCATACATCAGAGCTAGGTCAGGGGATGTGATAGCAGATGCAGGCCCCAGCCCCTCTGAGCTGGCATGTTCCATACACAGCCAGGAAGACCCTCACATAGAGCTACAACAGGTTCACTAGCTACAGACCTAGCAATGGAGATGCCACAGGAGATGAGTCAGGAGAATCAGTATTAAAAAAAAACAGCAATTAAAAATAACTTTGGTTACAAAGACCATGACCTCTGGGGTCTGATTACTAAAGGGAGCCCCCACCTTAATATGAATTACACGCTAAGGCCCCTTGGCTCTGTTAGAGAGTAGGGCATGCTACATGGCAATGCTGGGGTGGTCAGGAGTGAAATTGAGTGTCCACAGGGTGGAGCAGCAGCTGCTGCTGGGGCACTAAGGAGCACTGCTCAAGAGACAGACAAGGGTTTTATGCACACAATAGGGCACTCTGACCATCAGCAGAAGGTGCTGGGATAAATGAGGAGCAGACACTAGCTGCATCTCTGCCCAGCACAGACTTAGGCACCCCTCCCTAGGGCACTTTTCAACTCATGCAAGGATGCAAGGCCCCTGCCCAGGAACACCAAGCTTGTCTGGAGGAGACCTCGTTGAACTGCTGCGGACAATGTGATGGGCAGCTGCAGGGATGCACACCTGAGCTTTGGGAGCAGCTGTCTGGAAGAACCTTGTGCCTCACCACCTGCAACCAAGGGCACAGTAAGCCCCTCTTCCACCCCCATCTGGCATACACTGCCACGTTCAGTGCATAGACCCAGCTCGAAGAAAACCCTGATGGACAGCAACAGTCTCCCTCTCCTGAGGGACCTGAACTATCCTTTGGGGAAAAGGTCCTACTGCATTCCCTAGTCCTTGGTAAAGTGCAGGCTAAGCTATATTAGTCTGCAGCATGCAGCAGGAAAAGGTGTCTGATCCTCCCCAGCTCTGAGCCAGGACCAGGATGGGACACTTGTTAGCAACAACTTGTAGCTTGTCCTGATGGGAGGAGGATGCAGATCAAGGAACCGCACGAGGACCAGGGCACTGGCAGACTGTAGGCAGAGCTGGCATCATGACCTGACGGGCCAGAGCAGAGTGCAGAGCAATGGGGCTTGTGTGCTGTCTGCTGGGGCTCTGCAAATTGAGTATCCTACAGAAGCATGTGCCTGTGATGGAAGTGGTCTGAGACCCTTTTGTTTGCATTAAGGATAGTTTGTCCCTAAATTCATACTAAGGTTGGAGCCTGAACTGCAGGGGGAGGGAGTGGGAAGGTGCTTCAATCTTTCCAGTCCTTCTTTATACAGAGGTTCCATGCCCAGGAAAGGTGATCCATTTTGTCATCATCGGTGAAGAAGGATTTGATGTGGTAGGTGCTCCGCACCAGCATGCCCTTGGGGGCCTCTTCCATAGGGGTCAGGAACTCATACTCCTCAGCTCGGGGCCCATAGCTCCCCACCATGTAGATGTCTCTATCCACTGAGAACAGAGAGAGGGGAAACAGCAACAAGAGTGACTGCTTTGGAGATGACCCTCAGTGGCAGCAGGGATACATTGAAAAGGGTAGGACAGGGTGGTGGCACAGGGCCTCGCAACACATGCCCAGCACTTTAGGACCTCCACATTGTGCAAGGTAGCCCAACCCCACTCCCCTGGCCAGGACAACCACCCAGACTCACCTTTCAGACCTTTCCTGTAGGTGTGGTGCAGATACTTCAATCCACACACAATCTCCCTGTTCACCTGGAAGAGAGAAAGGGTAGGTGATACAGATTCATGCCATCACATACACACTATGCCTGCTGGATGGGTTTGTGCCTCACACTGGTGACCTTGCTGCAGACTGGCCAAGAAGAAGAGCAGCTAGAGGTTGCTAAGTTTCTGCTTCTGGCCTTTTACCATGGAGCCATTTGGAAAAGCACAAATGTTATTTGTATGGAATGTAACTGTAACTGGATATGCAGGGCCTTGGTTTGCACTAGTGTCTTGTTTGTTCACCATACTGTGCAATCCTCCCCACCCTCCACTCATGTTGGGCTTAGCCCCAGACAGGAAGAATCCAGTTCAGTGGACACACATACCAATGGAGTTGTTTGTAGGTAGCAGGATGGCAGGAGTCCCAGTACTGCCTCCACAGTGCATGGCTTTGCAGCTCCGCCAGGTCCAAAGAATCACAAGCTGCACGTGCACTGCAACCTGCAGCACCCACTAGGCACAGGCAGCAAGGCACACTGTAGGAAGTACCACAGGAACAAGCAGCAGGCAACGCCAGCAGAAGCTGAGCACTAAAGCCTCTGCGGGAACATCCTGCAAACTACGAGTCTCAGTGCCCAGCTTCTGGAGGTCTGTGATCTGTGCTGGCTAGCAGGGGTCCAGGGTACACAAGCAATGCAGACCTTACAGAACTGAGATCCTTCCTCCAAGATGGGGTCTCCAGTAGCACTGCCACTGTCCCAGAGAGGCCCAACCTCCATGGAAGTTTATCAAGTATTGAGTAGAGCAACCTGCAAACACCAAACCCCCAAGCCTGCTTCAGGAGGCAAGGGTGAGCTCACCTTGAATGAGATTTTCACTCTGTAATCCACTCCTTCCTTCAGCACAAAGGACTGGCTCTTCAGTGCCTCCAGATCACCTGTGCCAGGGAGACATGAGGTCCCTCAGCCTGTCTGTCCCAGCTAAAACTCCCAGTTGGAGTTTAGCCCACTCTTCCACAACAGGCACAGCCAGCAGAACCTCCTGGACTGCGGTTCAGCCAGAAGCCCCTTTGAGGGCGTGTGGGGTGGCCACTAATAGGGATGAACTAGGAGAGGACAGAAGCAGAACCACCCAAAGTCACTTGTGAATCATAGAGATGCCGGGCTGGAAGGAACCTCCAGAAGTCACCCAGTCCAGTCCCCTCCATGAAGCAAGACCATCCCTATCCAAACCAAAGGTACCAGAGCCTCCTCCCTCCACACCAACAGGCAGAGACCTTTCCTAGGTTGGAGATTTAGTGTGCTAGTGGCTGTGGGGTTATTCAGCTGCTTCCCTCCCATATACCCTGCCCCAGTGAGGAGAGCGCAGCAGGCTGCCTTGCTCACCTGCTAAGTCCATGGTGAGGGGCCCTGGAGCCTGGTCACACACCAGAGTCATTCTTGTCACCTGGATATTGGGCACATTGGGATCTACAAGAGAAACCAGGAAGCGGTAGTTACTATCTGGGTGCTAGAGCCCCCCAACTCTGCCCAACAGCTCAGATTAGTCTCCTGAGGTGACACCAGTGCCAGATCTCCATCTGGGCAGCCCTGAAAACCAGAGCTCACCTTCTTGTCCTTTCCCAAGATGCTAGGGACACCATCCCTGGGCACCAGACAAGCAGGGATGGACAGAGCAGCTTGCAGTCACTATGAGCAGATACCCAGGCTGCCCAGGAGATAAGTGCCAGCCTGAGCTCCCCATGTCTCAGCAGCCATGGTCACCAGTGGCCCTCAGGCAAGCAAAAAAAAAAAAAAAATCAAACTGCTCCAGCATCTCCTGCAGCCTAGCCCATGACATGGTGAAGAAGAGTTGTTGCATCCCCAGGAAACAGATGGGACGTGGGGGGTGAGGGTGTTGATCACGTGTATGAAAGTAGCACTATGGAAGGTGCGCTGCCTGTTAGCGTTAATGGGGTTGTGCTTTTCCATGTTAGAGTGCTTACAGTTAGGGATCCACGAGCTGGAGTTTTATAGAGGCAGGGTTGGGGACAAGACGGTTGTGACAAGGGCTGGACTGCAGGGGGCTGTTCCAGCCCCGCATAGGTATTGGCTAAGTTGAGGTAAGGCACACTGTGCAGGAGTGGGTGGGTGAGGGCTTTATGCGTGGGATAGGGAGGGGAGGGGTTATTGCGCCTCACATTTTGTTTTTAGTATATGTACCATATGACTGAAGATGTATGTAACAAAACACGTTCTTTTGTTTCTGGGATATTACCAGTGTCTCGTTGTCCAATTCTGGCTCTTGTATAAATTTAAGTGGTACGTGATTTTGGTTATCATGGTTGTACTATGTAATCTCTGACAGTTGTGTAGTTGTTGTAACTTCCTCTGTGAGGCCTCTGTTGGGGTCATTTTTAGAATGTCTGGCTGTGTTTGTTTTCTAATAAAATTAAAAAAAAAAGCTGTTGCATTCCCAGGGATGAGCAGGCTGCTGCTGTGCAGAGCTGCCCGTGTCTCAGATGACAGGGAGTTACAGTGACAGGTCAGTGCCATGACACTCCTGAGCTATCTGCCAGTCTGGCTGGAAGGGACATTCTAGAGACATAGCCCAGCTGAAGTCCAGAGAGTGCTCTCTTTGGCCTGGCACAGGGACCCAGCCTGAGGTGAAGCCCTGGCAGATCTACTGAGACAGCAACTACAGCCCCCAACGCAGAACAGATTCTCCGTGAACAGCCTCTAAATGGCACTGTACCAAGCCACATAATGGCTGTGAGGACACATGGCCAGCAGTTGGCACATTTCTTATGCTGTGGTTACCCTGGGCCATCACTGAAATAAGTGCTTCTGGGCCCTGCAACAAATGCCCATCCCAGAGGTGGTCATGCTGCCCCAGAGGGCCATTCAACCCTTGAGGCCCTCTCCCCTTCACTCACCTTGATGTTATTAATTTCTGATAAGAAGGAGGATGCCCCAGGGCTTTCCAAGCCTGATCTTACTCTTCAGATCACAGGTGCTCATGGTCATTGCCTTAAGGGCTAGTTCTGTGGGCTCCATCCTCCCCAGTACCCACTCCCATGCCTCACAGATGATCTGCTAATGCATCTCTGCCCTCTGGCAGGCCGCAGGCCAGGGTAAATAAAAATAAAAACTTTTTTTTAATTAAAAACATGCTTTTTATTTAAATCAGATGTTTTTGATTTAATCGTATTTTTTAATTTTTTTAAGATGTTCTTTTAAAAAATAAACATATAAAGATAGTTTTAATTTAAGATATGTTAAAACTCAAAGATATCATCATGGAATAGGGATTATAACTTCTAATTATATACTATTTGAGACAATATATTCATGTAACCTTTTTAGAAGTCCATGTCACAACAGGCCATGGACTGTATTAGGGACTCAATCTTATGGGATTCCCAGGGGCTCCTCTACTGATTAGTAAAAATTAAAGACAACCACTCTATCCAATGGAACTTCATGACAGCCTAGAAGATCCCATTAAGCATCTCTGTGATGTTTCAGTTCTCAAACTGTGGATTTGTGTCTCCAAAGATCATGGGCAGACAAGGTTCTTTAGGTAGATGTGATACCTTTTATTAGACCAACTAAATAGTTGGGAAAATTGTTTTTTGCAAGCTTTCGGGCACAAATGCCCTTCTTCAGGCATAGGGAGAGTTTGTCATCTCCAGAGATAACATCCTTGTTAACAGCAGTATATGCAGATGAGAAATAATAGACCTGATTACCCATCCATCAGCGTTTCTTGTCTCTCGCAAGTTTGTGTACAGAATAAAGCCTTTACCCTTTTCTAAAAGCGCAAAGTTTCAAGAAGTTAATGATGAAAGGATATCAAACAAGAAGAATGCGCTTTTTGTAGAAAACAGTGATTAAAAGCGAGGCTTCCTGACCAGGGATTTAAATGGTTATTTAAATTGATTTGTAGCGGTGCACTGATAGAGATTTTTTGGGCTGATACCAACAGTCAATTTTTAAGGAGGCATATCAGCCGATACTGATCCAACTTCCTAGTATCATAGTACTTGGGGTCAGAAGGGACCTGAACAGATCATCAGGT